GGATACTCTATATAGTAAATATCATAGAACTCAATGAAATAAATCTCTCTCCTATAAAAACACAGCATGAAAACAAAAACAAAAAAGCTATAACGAATATATATGTCGATTTTAAAAACAGATCTACTTTCAAGATAGTTTTTTTTGTCTGTTAGAAACAAAATGAAAACTTAAAAAGGTCCAAAAGGAAACTAAAAAGATCTGACGGAAAAGAAAATTCAAAGGTCGCTTTAATGTGGATGAAAAAAACGTTTGGAAAACTTACATAAAGTAGCTTTTCAGTAAAAGCATTGCTATTTTTCTATCAGCCTTAGTTTCCAAACGTAGAAAAAGTGCACTATGACCGGGAGGCGATAAGATATATAGCGACTCATAGCGATTTGGAGAAAAAGGAGAAAACGGCTGTTGTTTTGCTGTTTTTCAGGGTAAGACGAAAAAAAATGCAAGGATAAGAAAGTAAATGATGTTTTCTCCAACCCCTTTTCCTTTTTGTGTATATATATCCCTTTTGTAGGTACTTTTGAAGTAAGTTTTATCACAGTCAGGAACGCTTTCTTTAACATGCCTTCGTATACTACTATATGCTCTTTCGGACTCCATTTCTTTTCAGGAGCTACAAGTTAGAGAATTTTTTTATTGCTGAGCGCATGTTTGGGGAAAAAATGTGTTGGTTTTTGAAGTAGTATTCGAGATTTTCTATTTTGCTACGCAGAACTATCTTTGGACATGGAAGCAATTGCTGCTCTAAAATAAGATCCAGAGTTTCATTAAACACATATTTTTTACATGTTCTTTTAAAAGTTATTTTCAGAGATTAAATATTTGTAGTTTCTTTCAAACATAATATGAAATATTCTTTAAATATATTATTAATAGCAGTCAGAAATCAATAGGGGGTGCAATTATTGTGTGATTGAAACTTGTATTACTTTTTATAATATTCGGCAGCATGTTTGTAAATAGAAAAACGTAATTCACAATGTTATTCTTAATTCTCAGTGGTAAAAAAAGTTTTTATCAAACATGTTGTCACAAAAAAAGAAGAGAAAAATGACTACTCTTTAAAATGAGGAAATGGGTTAAATTCTTGTATCATATCCTAGTCACAAAATACATGCAATTTCAACTCCCCCGCGCAATCAACTCAAGTATCTTAACATAAGTCAACTTTTGCATTTTATACAAACTTTCTTCTAAGATGCCTTCCTACTTTTTTTCTAAAACAATTATATTATCTAAAAAAATGTTTACTGTACCATTTTGTAACGGATTAAAAAGCATAATTTTAGATTTTGTCTGTTTGGTTTTCTTCATCTTTTATTTCTCTCCACTTTTTTTTCTACTTTTTTACATTTTTATGCATTGTCATCCACTTCTGAGCTATGGTCCGAATTTCTAGCTGATTGGAAAATTAGTTTAAAATCAATTACAAAATTCCTTCCGGACAGACATACGTGTACAAGTCTCTTTCGGAGCCCGGGGTCATTATGTTGTTACGTTGGATGGAATGTAATGATTGCGGTAGCTTAATGGTCAAGATCACGGTGAGTCCTGAGTTCACGCTTAGTAAGCTGAAGACCCACCGTGTAGGGAGGGTAATGAACATTAAATATGTCGATGCTCAGTCGTTCTCCCGTTGGTGTGGTGTGAAACTTATGAGAGGGGGCGCCAGCTCAGGTGTCATCCGCGTTGCTCGGCATGGCTCATAATTACAAGGTTCATTGGTAAAGGCTCTATAGAAGCTGAATAGTGAGTGTGACGTTAAATATTATTTCAAGCAAGGACGTAATTTCGAATTTTTTAATGTGAAAAAAGACTCAATTGTTTTAATCAATCAAATATTTACTTCAATCAATCAAATATAACTTTAATCAATCAAATATAACTTTAATCAATCAAATATAACTTTAATCAATCAAAAATTGTTCATTCTGTTCGTTGGCAATTTGCCATTTTTCTGGTAACATAATTCTGTGCTAGCCATTATCAGGGAAAAGAAATTTCACACAAAAGTTTATCAAGATAATATTCATTGTTGAAGATTTTAGAATTTAAAAGGTTTTTAAATCACATAGAAGTAAAACAAAATATATAAATACATACATATATACATATATAAGTACATGCCCGATTTGTGCAAGAGTTATATGGAGTATTAAACTCCGAACCAAATTCCAATAATTTCGTATATGTGTCAATATATTTATGGCGAACACACACACACACAGATATATATATATATATATATATAATCCAATATACACTCTGTCGCAAAAAAATATATGCACCCAGAAGAAATCAAGCTATAATCACGAAACTCGGCAAGAATGTAGTCTGGTAAGAGATATGCAAATGATTAAAATTTCGAAGCCAATGAGACAAGGCTAAGTGTGCTACGCGCATATTAGTTGCGCAACTGGGAGAGTTTAAAAGCATGAGTACGAGCGCCGTACGGCTATCCAAACGAATCTGATGACTTTGATAGACGATATTGAGACTTAGGATGCCTCTAAGACGTAACCGGCGGCAGTACGAGCAGCTGACGGACTTTGATAGGGGCCGTATAATAGGCCTCAGAGAAGCAGGTTGGTCGAATAGACGTATCGGCCGCCACCTCGGTCGGAGCGATATGGTAGTTGCTCGGTGTTGGCAACAGTGGATCACAGAAGGTAGAGTGTACCGTCGCAGAGGGTCAGGACGTCCCAGGAACACAAATGATCGCGAGGATCGTGCAATCAGAAGAGTGGCCACTTCGGCACCAACAACGTCGCTAGCATCGATTCAACGCCACTTACCTCCTTCCAGACATCCAGTGCCATCAAGAGAAACCATAAGGAGACGACTGACCGAAGTTGGCTTGAGGAGCCGACGTCCGCTAAGACGCTTACCACTGACCCCCACATCATAGGCAGTGTCGACTGGATTTTTGCCGACCTCGGGCAACTTGGAGTGTGACAGACTGGAGACGTGTCATCTTCAGTGATGAATCCCGATTCAGTCTCAGTGATGATGACCACCGCACACGTGTCTGGAGGCGCACCGGCCAGCGGTCCGATCCGGCATTTATTGTCGAGTGGCATACAGCAATTTCACAAGGTGTGACAGTGTGGGGAGCAATTTCTTGGGACACACGATCATCTTTAGTGGTCCTTCAAGGCACTTTGACAGCTCGCAGATACGTGGACGATATTTTAACGCCGATTGTGCTACCCATGCTATCAAGTCGCCCAGGTGCCATTTATCAACAGGATAATGCTCGTCCACATACTGCGCGACTCTCCCAACAATGTCTTCAAGGATATGACGTCCTACCATGGCCTGCCAGGTCACCAGATCTTTCGCCAATAGAGCATGTCTGGACGCGCTGGGAAGGCAACTGCAGCCGTCCCGAGATATAGGAGAATTAACTGCGCAGATGCAAAGACTATGGCAGGATCTTCCACAGGGGGACTTCAGGGGATCTAATTGAATCGATGCCACGCCGAATTTCGGCTTGTATAGCTGCCAGAGGTGGCTTTACTACTTACTGATTTTTAACCTTTTGCAAGCTGTAACCGCTTAATAAAATGATATTTTGTTCTGAATTTTTAATCATTTGTTTATTTTCATATACACTACATGCATACCAAATTTCGTGAATGTAGCTCAATTTCTTCTGGGTGCATATATTTTTTTGCGACAGAGTGTATATATACACAGATAGCTATAGAACCTAAGCATAACTATTCAAGATATAAAACAATAGCCACAGTAGTACAATAACAAACTCCTGGCCTTAGGAACCAAGATTTCAGGTTTAACATGTTTTAGGGCTAGCCAACCTTCAACTGGAGTTTGTTTATACTAAGTGTAAAGGGGAAAGGAAAGAATAATATTAGAAGAAATTTAAATGTTAAGAATAAAATCACTATACTAATAAAATATAACAATAAAATTATAGCCTACTAGTATTCACAGTATAGATTTAAAGTCGATGATAAAGGTAGATAGTAAGACTTACTGCGTGAGTGTCTCAACTGGTTATGTTTCCCGCCAAATACAACAGAGAGATAAAAGTACCGTATATGATTAAAAATTATGTTAGAATAATATAAAGTTTATATATATATATGTACGTTTATAAAATCAAAAATATATATTGATATAAATATTTGTGGACAATAAATATTTTAATAATATTAATTTATTAAACATGTTGCGCCATCTATTGGATGATTGTATAGTTAGTTAAAAATACAAGTGTACAATATATATAACTGTTTAAATACAGTTTTTGACAGTAAAATGATGAAAAGATGGCATATTTTCTCCTCTTACGAAAAATATTTCTACAATAATATTTTGCTTATGTATAGCTAGGACTTATGTACACAACTTGAAATAGGATTTTCGAAATATATATTTTAGAGATGGCTTTTTAATTGTGATTTATTGCGTCAAAGTAAAGTAATTAAAAAAACAGTAATTATGTATACTTTAGGTGATTGTAACTCTGAAAATAATGTGAACTTTTCAAAAATCCTACCTATATGTAGCCAAAATCAAAATATTGTTATAGAAACATTTTTCATAAAAGGGGAACGTTTTGAAACAATGCAATTTTTTTTCTTATATTTTTTTTCCAAAATAATTGCATTTCAATAAATTTTTCTTGTAATAATAACCTGAAAACGATTCTATATGCATATTCTAATCCAACTAACACTAGTTGAATAAAATCAAGTAATATAAAAAAATAATTTAATTTCAACTTAGGCCAAAAAAGAAAAATTTTATTCGAGTCACTTTTTATTAAATAATTACAGTTCATATAAATATGTATATACATATAGAGATTCACACTATTAAGTAGTAAAATAGAAAGCGATTTTTCTTAAAATTTTACTTTTTATATGTGGTGTTGCATATTATTTTTGTTTATTAATATTTATTAATTATTAAATTTAATTATTCCAATAAAATCGTATAGTGAAAAGAAAACACATTCTCAGAAATTAGGCTATCTCAGGTGGGATTCGAACCCATAACTTTTGGATTAGAAGTCCAACACGCTATATATTTCGCTACATCGATACAGCGAGATATTTTCCTTTTATATATGGTGTTGGATTGTTTTTTGTGTTTGTTACTATTTATTCATTGATTAAATAGAAATAATGAATTAATACTTTAAAAAAATGTGTTAACTTCGAATGTCATGCACTACATGTTTAAAAAATGTATTTAAACTTGAATGGATAAATAGAATTTTTTAGTTAACGATTTAAAATTTGAACAAGATATACATATATATATATATATAGGGAGAGAGTGAACTAATGGTGGGAACTGAAAAAAGATGTTTATTTAAACGCTTTTTCAAAATCATGATTTCGAATTGTGTAGTCAGTCATCTTAAGGTATCCGAACATTTTCGGAGTACTTTTTGACAAAACAACATATTTAAACATTACAAAGGCTCTTTTAGGACTCAATACCTAATAAATACTATTATTTAACCAACAATATTTTTAAAATAAATTGCCTAAATTTCACAAAAATTATAATTACTAGTGAAATTTAGCAATATTTATGTAAAACTTCAAAGCAATTAGATAAAAAAGTTATAAACTTATATTAGTAAAAGTACTACCAAAATAATACAGATGTATTTATCTAGAGAATGTACTAAAATTTTAATATTTTATTAAAATTTGAAAATTGTAGAGCTGATTGAGTAAACATTATAAGAAAAATCACATTCTTTATGAGACCCTTATTTAAATAACAAGCCCTAACTCAAAAAATATTCGTACAATAAGACATATTTTTGTACATTCTTTAGAAAATAGTATAAATAGCAGGTTCAAAAGTTTTATAGAGATACATTTGTAATATTTTGAGTAATCAGACTCGCCATGATAGATTTCGAACCATTTAAATGCCCACTTCTGGTAAATACAAGATTCACTTCCGTTATTTCTAACTTAATAAAATTGATTGTTGCTTGTCCTCTAGGTAGCGTAGAAACAAAAAAGTATGCTTTGTAAAGCCAAAAGATAGCTCTTTTCAATAAAATAGAAAACAAAAATATCTGTCGTGACCGAATTTAGTCATTTTCAGCGTGTTCGGATACCTTAAGAAATGATTCAAAAACAATTTCGTAAGAATAAAAATCATACAAAAATTTAAAAAAAAGATTTTTTTTCTATTTTCCGGCAAAATTCGTATAATTGTAGATAAATAGTATTAGAATATTTGAATGATTAACTTTCATCTTAAGACTTTCGCTTCAGGAACACCGCATGCTAAGTGAGCAAAAATATATATTATTTTTCCATGTAACATTATGTAAGCAATGTTTCAAGAACGAAATTAATCAAGCGCAGTGGTATATTTGATATCTGATTTATTCCAGACAATCGAAAAATCATGTCACTGCTCATTCTTTTTATTTTTCCACAAATATCCCCACCAACCAGACCAAATAATCAATTTCCCCATTGATTGGCCAGGAGTACTGGATACAACCACTTTTTTCCCTCATACTTGTGGCAGCTTCTTTTGTATGGGAAACTTTCTAAGTTCCCCAGAAAGCATTTCTCATGTTCCATGCTTGTAGAAAAGAAACACTTTTTTGGAGACTTTATTATTATTTTTTTTCTGTACTCTCTTGCTAACTTTGGGCACCTTCCGTTGTTGCGACAGTTGAGAAAGAAGTTTAAGTGAAACTGTTGCTTATCTGTTATCGAATCGGGATAAGAAAGAAAAATGACGCTTGGAATGTTTTTAGTTTGAAAGGACATTGAAGAAGTTGGAAAGTTTCAAACTATTAGCGAAGTTAGAGAAGTAATGTGTGTCTTATCAGAGCCTGTAAGTGTTTTTGCCTCTTTTTAGGTTTCATTAGAGCTGCAAGTCCAATTAAAACGTGCACCTATAGAATATCGTGTTCTCTCGAACTGTGAAATAGTAGAAAACAACAAATTGAACTTGAAGGGTCTCAGGGGCGATAATTTTGTCTCAAGAGCTGAAAATATAAACAATTTTCGACTCGATATAATTTTGTTAAGTGAAATTAAATAAATCGATTCTTTTACACTATGCATAAAGGAATGAAGTTTGAAAAAGTGCAAAATTTTTGAAATATAATCATAGTTTTAGAAAAAGTTATAGCGTATGAATGAAACATTTCTGTAAGAAATGTTAAGTAAATGCTTATGCTCCGCATGATATTTTCTAAAATAGTAGCTTTTTATGTATAAAACTTTACAGAATTATAATATGTATCATACTCTTTAAAACCTGCCTAATTTTAGTATTATATATAGTGTAATACCTTCTCTATTTTCTAAAACTATTACTCAAATCAAACAATACAAATATAATTATCCTGATTGAACACAGTTCTCTTAATTAAATACAATTATCTGGGTTATCATTACAATCAAACTACAATGTCCGTCGTGTTAAAACAGTTCCAAGAGATTACCTCTTCTTCTTACAGCAGGCCACTTCCTGTGGTCGATCTCTCTCAAAAGGAACTCAATTTCCTTCACCCTAAAACAGTTCAGCGTCTCGCGGTTTCAAAAATTAGGAGCTTTTTTTATTCCCAAACCGTTCTTTTTGGGGTCAAAAAATCCTCTCCTCAGAACACAGTAACCCTTCCCCTGCAGGTGGGGGAACACCGCCAACTCTTTCTGAGACCCCCCCCCGGGCTCCACCCTGGACACTAAGATTAACTTGAGGCAAAGAATGACCAGACGCCATTTGTATAATAATAAATTATATTTATTCAATTAGTTCAAATATCAAACTTCTAATGACAAATACTTAGCTAGATTTCTACGTCAAAAAAGGGATTTACCTTCACTATTAAATTAAATTACGAAATATGAAATTAATCCATTACTAAGCTCACTATCGAAAAGGTTTAGCGGGATAGGAGGTCTGAGAAATACACGCCACTTGAATTATTAGCTTCATTAAAAATAAACTAATTTTATTAAACTAACGCTTGTGGTAAGTGGTACTAAGTTAGAATATATCACCTGGTTGTACATATGATCTCTCCAAATAGATTAATCCTCCTAAGGCTCCTTCACTGAATAATAACAGCAATACTCCAATATCTTAATCGAAATGAATCCTCTAAATCTCGTCACTACTGTTGCTGGCTCAATAGCCTTCTTCCCCGCTAACTTACAACGCTCTTCTTAAAAATATGTTATCTACTTTACATATACAATTTTCTTCTTTTAGTGCTGATTGGAAATATACGCGAATTTACAATCCCCAAATACGCTTAAGAGTATTAATGGGATGGTGCCGTAAGGATTCGTCACATCCTAAAGTCTACCGCCAAACAGTAGTCAGACACTACATACACATTTTTTATTTCAAAACACTTTAAAAATATTGAAATTAAAAAATGTATATTTGTATTTTTTAAAAAAAATGTTTATTATTTATTTATATATAAATGTGTTCCAGATTGTGTAATAGGAATATCTCTTACTTTATAAATCAACTTATCGCTAGTAAGTTTCTATTTCAGAAAATACCGCGAGAAACGTGCAGTTTAATTAATAAAGGCTGTTTTTTTAGAGGTATAGAACTTTAAATTGCAATAAAACAACGATGTATTATTCGAATGACATGAATTTTTTTTATTCGAAAGATAATCTTTTGGCATTACATTTTAAATATGATTTCTGGCATATGACTGCCACGGCTGCCTCGGATGTAGTCCAATCTGGACGTCCAATTTTCGATGACTTTTTCCAACATTTGTGGCCGTATATCGGCAGTAACACGGCGAATGTTGTCTTCCAAATGGTCAAGCGTTTGTGGCTTATCCGCGTAGACCAATGACTTTACATAGCCCCACAGAAAATAGTCTAGCGGTGTTAAATCACAAGATCTTGGAGGCCAATTTACAGGTCCAAAACGTGAAATTAGGCGGTCACCAAACGTGTCTTTCAATAAATCGATTGTGGCACGAGCTGTGTGACATGTTGCGCCGTCTTGTTGGAACCACAGCTCCTGGACATCATGATTGTTCAATTCAGGAATGAAAAAGTTAGTAATCATGGCTCTATACCGATCACCATTGACTGTAACGTTGTGGCCTTCATCGTTTTTGAAGAAGGATTCCACCAGCCTATAAAGCGCACCAAACAGTCAGTTTTTCTGGATGTAACGGTGTTTCGACATACACTTGTGGATTAGTTTAACTCCAAATGCGGCAGTTTTGTTTGTTGACGTAGCCTTTCAACCAGAAGTGCGCTTCATCGCTAAACAAAATTCGCTTATGAAAATCGGGAACAACGGCAATCTCGTTTTGGGCCCATTCGACGAATCTACGCCTTGCTTGATGATCGTTTTGATGAATTGCCAAACTAAACTGAGAATAAATCACTTGACAGCTGTTAAATCGGTTGCCATCTTGGAAAGTAATGCCAACTTAAACTTCTATACCTGAAAAAAAACACTCTTTATTTATTACAGAAATGCTTCTTTTTTTATGATTGATTATAATTTTTTTTAATTTTGGTTTTATTTTAAATGTTTTGCACTTTTTTAAATCCAATTTCTTGATAAATAATGTGTAAAATGATCTCATTATTTAATATTTTAACCTCAAAAAATTATACCAGTTGAAAACTGTTTATATTCTCAGCTCTTGAGACAAAATTAACACCCCTTAGACCCCGCAATTATGCCGTATTTTTACAATAAAAATCACCAAAATGTATAGTTTATTTTATTTAAGAATGGAAAGTGCATTAAATAGATTAATTTTATTAGTAGTTTTCATTAAATATATATTTATCCTTTTCAGCGTTATTGTTTTCCAACGCACACATACAAAGTCTTCTGGTTTATATACTTATTATAAGAATGATTTTAATGGATTTTAAAATAAAAATGCTTTTTTTCAAGGAGTGACCCGAAAATTTTAATTCTATGTGTCAACTGTGATTCACACACTTCGGTTTATACGCATAGTTTTTGTACAAAACTGTGTGCCAAAGTAATTTGCTATGAGTATATAATGCTAATGCGTAAAATTTAATAGTTCAAGCTTTCAA